CCAGACTTCATTTCCAGCCAGGGGAAATCCAGGCTGCGAGGCAGCAGAAGTCACAGACCCGAACAAGGGTCATGTGTAAAACTCCCGGGGCTTAATGTTGCAGTTCTGCTCCTGGGGACGCAGCAGGCTCAGGTCCACAAATAGGCAACACATCCTTTGCCAAAGAATAACCAGAACACCCTGTTCAAGAAAAAAATAAAAGGGAGGAGGACAGCAAAACCTGTACTGTATAGAAACTATTCCATAGCACTGATTAGCATTGATCAGATGCCGTTAAATCCCCCTTTCTAAGGCATTTTTCCCCAGCTATCAACACAGAATTTACACAACAATGATAATGTCACGCTGTAGAAAACAAAATGTCATTTTCCAAGCAATGATGAACTGATATTTGAAGTCTCCTCTGATAAGCAGCAAATGAATGGCAAGCCCCGAAGGAGCGGAAGCCCCTGAGCTCCTTTCCATGCCGCGGTAGAAAGGTAGGTTATGTCTAGTTACACCGCTTAACAGCAAATCGCAATTTAACTCCTGCAAATGGATCAGTTTTTCAGGCACTGTTTCACGGTAACTGCACAAGGTGCAAAGCACGGCACGTCCAACTCACAGGAATCAGGCACGCCGCAAACGCCCTGAGAGCAAACGTGGGCATCTCAATAAACAGCTCCCTCTGAAATACCCTCGTAGCTCACAAGTTATGCGCCTGGTATCAAGAATTCTTGAATTATTAACAAATCAAGCTACAAGAAGAATGGCACAGTCGCTACAGGATTGCAGCTAAACTACAGGCAGGAACACTTAATGCTAACAATATTAAACCCCTAACCTATGCTTCCAACAGGAAAATTACTCTGCAGAGAGGATCTAATTTGTATTTGCAACACCCAGTACGAAATAAGTCGCGTTATCCTCATTTTATAGCGGAGGAAAACACGGTGGAGCTGTCAGCTGGCCCGCGGGGTGCTGTCGGAGAGGTCCTCGAGCACCCGAGGCACCCGCGCGGGGCTGGCAGCTGTGCCACGGGACCCCTGGGAGACGTGTCCTCCGGCAGCGGCAGCTGGAGGCCACGGCGAACACCCAGGGGCATCTCCCACAGCAGCCTGTGTCTGCAGGGAGCAACCGCACCACGCCTGGGGCAACTGCGTACAATCCCGGCTTTGACCTCGGGGTTCTCTACTCCTGGCCTGCTTCTGAGCACGGGATCAAGCACAGCCATCACATGACGGCTTATTAGACGGTTTCCCCAGAAACAACCGCAGGCAAAGAGCGCTGCAACCATACCCTCCTTTTTCAGTTCTGGTTAAAAGCCTGAAGCATTTCAGAATTTCTTGCTGCAAATTCCTTGTTAAACAAAGGCTTCCGCACTTTGAAACACTCGGGCACATGCTTAGCTGGATGCCTGCAGCTGGCTGCACTGACTCAGACGGAGATAATCACGTGCTGAAAGATAACGTGGGCAGGGGCGCAGGCCCCGCTGCCCCTCCTCGGTTATCCCTGCACTTGAACCCCTGCCCATGGCTCCAGGGGGTGTACCCTGCCCGGGCACGGAGCTGGCGACGGTGTCGGGGCTGCTCCCCGCTCCGCACGCGTTTCTCGCTCTGTGGAGACTGCGGGATGCTCAGGTAACCAGACAGCTGAAAAATCACAACTATCACTGCTGGATCCTGCTACCGTCACCGATTTCTGCCATTACAGCCCTCGCTGAGGCTCAGGACACACCGTGCTGTGAGCAGGAGCAGCACTCTCCTTCTCCTCCTCTGAACAAACAGCTTTTTATTCCAAGCCCAGACCACTGAATCCATCTCACTTTTATCTTTCTCGCAGCTGCACGACACGGCAAACCGCTGAATGCCTCTTTAGACATACTTCCCATTTTGAGGCCAAGCTTGCAGTGAGGGGAAAGCATGGGGCACGTACAAAAGCCATCTTTTGTGACGGCAAAACAGACGGGCATTCAGTTGCAATTTTTAAAAGGAGCTGGGCAGCCAGCTCCCGTATGTTCCTTCGAAAATCACAGCTAAATGAGGCCAGCTAATGCTGCACAGTTCACTGGACAATATCAGCACGCTCATTCATATGCATAAATGCAGATTTTCATGTTTTCAGAAGTGGTACCCTTCTCAAGGCCTGACTTCCAAAGTTGGTGGATTTTTCTTTTTTTAATGCAATTTGTCTCGTCACTGAAGAGCAATTCGCATACAGGAAGGCACGGTTAGTTTCTAACCGACTTTTTATTACGCTAAACAAGGTCAAATATATAAAAATTCCAAGTTGTGGCTCTAAGGCAAATCATTAAAATATCCCTCTCCCTCGCTCACATATTCAGAGCATATTCTATTCTGGAAAAAAAGAAGCCATCTCACTCAGACTGGAGTAATCCACTGGATTTAATAGAATTTTTTTTTTTTTTCCAAACTGCATCCAAAACCAGAGAATGACAAGACAAACCCAATTTCTGTTCGGTATTATTTGTCCAAAAGTCTCTTCTGAACGTTTATTTCGGAATGGCCTACATTAAGCCAAAGCAAAAGAGCATTTTCAAGTAATGCACGTATCATTTCTTCAAAAGGAAAAATCAAGCCCGATACTTTGAAACCGAATACAGTCACAGACATGAACATTTAGAGCTTCAACAGACATCCCCTACTAATAACAAACACTCAGTTTCAAAGCAAATGTGCACTTTATACACAATTAAAATTAAAACAAAGAAACAGTAATAGAAACAGCTGCATTACTTTGCATTTTCAGATTGAATTTGGTGCCAGGATTGGAATATTCTACACACACTGCTCACTAACGGGAGTATTTACTGGTGTGGACAAAAGCTCACAGGACTGACCTGAGACAGGAGCTTTAAGCGGGTAACGGTTTAGATCGTTAATTGGGAAAGGGCTAATACAAACAATGGGTGAAGCAGCTGTCATGAACCCATTTTATTTTAAGCCATTAGTAAGAAATCACTGCAGTTTGCGTAGAGAGCAGCAAGGGGAAAAAATTTTCACTTCTTGCCATTCAGCTGGCGAAAGGCTGTTCTGAAACCACCGCAAAGGGTTAAGAGCAACGTAACCCTTTTGGGACACTGAAAAGACCACGCCAGCCGCAGTGTCCGGACGAGCGGATTGTAGGCACGCATCCCCGTCTATCTCCAGGCTCCAAATGTCTTCCCTAGTACTTTCAGACAACATGTTTTCCACTCAAGCTTCTCCATCACACTCCCAGCTTTCTGCTGGCAAAGCCTCTCTGCCCGTCTTCAGGCAGCGTGCTTCTCTTCAGACCGCTGTTTAATTAGAGGAGCACTATTAATAACCTCTCCCTCACCGCACACAGCTAGTCCCATCTCACTGGCAAGCTGTCCCAGCCCGCAAGTCCACCCAAGCTTTTCAAAACTGCTACGTACTTACTGTGTCACTTACTTATCCTTACCTAAAGGCATCACTCTGAAACTTTTCTGCGTAAAATTCAGAGGTTGCTCCTTTCCCGGCGCAGCAGCCAGGAGTTACTGCTAAACAAAAGCCAGAAAGCAAGTTTGCTTCCAAACATCTCTGCTGGAGATGAGCTGGAGAAGCTCTCGCCGAACTGGCGCAGAGGGCTGCGTTGGTGCCGGGCACACTTAACGCCGCTCTAAATCAGAGCTGAGAGATAGCTGGGCCCTATGCCTGGACTGCCTGGTGTCTCAGAGCAAAAACAGACTGAAAATAATTCAGCAAAATACCTATTTTCAGCAAGCGCTTGGGTAGAGGATAACTGCAAGCATGTGCTCGTATCCCCTTAGTTTAAATATAACGTATAGCCTATGCTCGGTTGTTCTGCGGGACAGGAATGGAGGAGGGGTTTGCCTGTGTCCTCCCCAGAGCCGTACTTCTCAACCCTGTTCCTGATCAGGCTGTAACGAGGGCACTAAGGACTGAGGTAGCCTCGAAACAGAACAGTCCTGCTTGAAACAGGCCCCAAAAATATATCAAAATGCATGAAAACCTAACAAAAAAAGAGAGCGGAGCAAGGTCCTGAATACATTATAAATAGTAGCAAAAAGCATACACATTTATCAGCGTCTCTCAAACATTAATGCGTATCCTTGCCAAAAAGACACTGCCAAAGGCAGTAAATACCGCATTCTCCTTTTTCTAATTATAAATTCAAGTTTAATGCCAAAACCACAGAATGCCAAATCTGACTGGTCTCTCAAGCAGAAATCTAAATTATACATATTGCTCTGTCTGAACTAAATTCTGTGGACATAATGGAAGGAAAAGGGGTCTGGAATAAGGCAATATCATTGATATGCGGAAAGGGCTTTGTAAAAACTGTTACAGACAGCTCATGTGTCCTGGCTGGGGGGAAAGGAAGGTTATTCCTCAAGTGGAATGCACGGAGAAATGAAATTACCATGACTCCATCTAACCAGATTACTTTGGAAAAGACAGAAATCTTATCCAAAAGGTAGCGTAACAACTTCATGCCCTTGGGCAGCGGGGCATTATGTAACAACAGACCTCAAAACCATCCGTTTCCATAGATATCACATAAATATGTGGAATTACTGAATCCAGTAACTTCTATTTACTTCTTGTTTGGATGTTTTACAAGAGTATGAAGTCTCTCTTCCTTTCTGTTGCATACTGCATGCAGGGAGGTCTGAGCCCTCTCTGCGTTACGGCCGGCACTCTTACTCTGAACACAAGTACTTGTGCACACACACATTTCTCCTGTAAGTAATTTTCCATAGGGCAAAAAAAAAATGCCGGTAGCAAGTAACAGCTATAGTATGACAGTTCCATTTTATAAGTAGCACATCAGTTTTATAAAAGACAGAGTCAAGAGCACCATTAACAGATGTTTTCCAATCTTTCACTGCTGTGCTGCTCAGTGACCGGCACCTGTGGGCTGCCGGGATAACCGGAGACTCCTCTGTGCTGTCTGCAGGCTCAAGGCACTTTTGAAACGCAGCATAGAAAGTTTTACGTTTAAAACAAGAACAACAACGAAACTGCGGACCACAGTAATAAAACTAGCAAAATGCTAACAGCTACCCATTGCTTTCTCCTCGTTAATATAAAAAAAGTGTAACGTCAGAGATCCAGTGTACAAATACAAAAAATTGTGCATAATAAATGTACTATAATACTGTACATACAGCATAAACCGTTCAATGAGAATGATTTAAATATAACTATTTGTCTCCTGACTTGGAAGACAGAAGAATAAAGTTCTATAATCCTAGAGTATGTGAATAAACCCTTTCTGAGAGGTTGAATCACTAGCCAACGGTATCCCTGAAAATAAGCAGAGTCAAATATTTACTTAATGGAAGCCATTATTCAAGGGGTTGCTGGTTATGATAAACTAGGAGAAAAAACACTATATATAAACTCAGCCAACATTAAATCCAGACAGAGTTCTTCCCATCTCCCGACTTGCTACTGGCACTGCTTTTGTTTGAGCCTGCTTTGGATTTCTTCTCTCTGGAACTGCCGGGATTGTTTTGGTTGTTGTAAGCCTGGATCGCGAGGTCCAGGCGCTCCTGAGCCACTTTAATTTCCCTCTGCAGATTTTCCAGGTCGGCAGGAATGTTTTCTTCATTGCTTCCATACTGCTGTTCCTGAGCTATATTGGCTTTGTTCTGTTTGTAGGCCATTTTGGCGTTGGACAGTTCAGTATATTGCATTTGCTCTGGCTTGACCGCGATGTTATAGCCAGGAGGAGCAGACGGTGTATTCCAAGTAAAAGGGTAGTTATAGGTACCAGAGTCTTCCAGCTCTTTTCTCTTGTTGTTCAACGTGTCCCGGATTGTGCCAAATCCCAAATGGATCATCTCCCAGACATTCAAAAGTAAACACATGCAGCTCACCCCATACATTATTAGCAGGAAAATGGTCTTTTCGGTTGGCCTTGAAATGAAACAATCGATTTTGTGCGGGCACGGCTTCCTGCTGCACACAAATATGGGGCTGACCTCAAAGCCATACAAAAAATACTGACCCACGAGAAAGCTGATTTCAAACGTAGTCCTCGCCAGAAGCTGCAGGACATAAATTTTCATGAGTCCGTCTTCCCGGATTCGCCGCCTGCCATCATGCTTAGCTTTGGCAGGGGCCTGCTGCTCTTTATTCTCCCGTTCACTTTCCAGCTCTATTTCTGGGTACATCATCGGGTCTTCCTCGTGGTCCTCCTCAGTTTCCTCTAAGCCACGGTGTTGTTTCCAGCGCATGGAAAAACTTTTGCTTCTGCTTCTTCTGTCGGCTTCGCTGTGTTCCACCATCCGGGCAATTTTATGAATTGCATAGCCTAAATACATCACAGATGGAGTGGCAACGAGAATGATCTGAAAGACCCAAAACCTCACATGCGAAAGAGGAGCGAAAGCATCGTAACAAACATTCTCGCAGCCCGGCTGCTCCGTGTTGCACACAAACTTGCTTTGTTCATCGTAATAAATGGACTCTCCTCCCACAGCAGTTAGAACAATCCGAAATACAATCAACACTGTCAGCCAGATTTTGCCAACAAAGGTTGAGTGATTGTGGATCTCCTCTAACAGACGGGTCAGAAAACTCCAACTCATGGTGGTCAAATAATTTTATCTAAAAAACAAACAAACCCCCCAAATATTTATGAGTTTATCAGCTTGAGCCTAAACATTTCAAACATTCAACCAAGAGAGTCAGAAGACTCAAGAATTTTACAACCAACACACAACCACGTTCGTAGTATCACCTGTTATCGGGAAACTCCAGCTGCCAGAATTTGCTTGAAGATTCTACGTCTCCTCCACAGGCTTTTGAGAAGTCTGCTACAAAAAAAAGCAGCAGTTAACTGCCATTTCACAAACAAAATGTGCTCCTAAAGCTACTCCCCAGCAGAAGAGAAAGACGCGGCTGCTCTCTATTTCAGACGTTAATAAAAACATTTACACTTGAGGCTGAAGACTCCAAAACACAGTGGATTGAAAGCTAAGCTCCCGTGAAATTTTATGGGCAGTGCTGGCTATGTCCCACCGCTGAGAGTATGATTTATTTTAACCGCACGGAGGGGGCCAAGTCCTGTTACAGCCTGAGCTAGCGATCTCGGCCTCAACCAAAGCCCATGGAGAGAAACAGCTCTCTCCACGGCGCAAGGCCAATGTCTTCAGACAGAAACGGATCACCCAGCCCAAGCCTGAGAAGCAAGCAACTGCTATTATCTTTGATTTAAAGGCAGGACAACCTGAGTGATCTGAGCAGCTCTACCCTGCAGATCTAGCCTAGAGACAGGAACATCTGACTTCTAACCCGATGCTCAAACTGTTCTATGGATTAGGGTTCAGTCCCTTAGGGAGGCTAAAAATCTCCCTTCCAGAGCCAGAAAAGCCTTTAGTATGTATTTTGTAGTGTTTTTTTGGAGAGTAGAAGGAAAACCTATTTTAAAAAAGTTATCTGTTAAAAATTTTAGAAGCGGTATTAGAAATCAATATAAATTTCCAATCCTAACAGTAGAAAAACCTCATCAGTGGAAATTCACGGCTCGCAACACCATGAAGTATCACAATGAATGAAACCCAGTGACATTACAGGCCCACACGGACCTCTAAGTAGTAGAACTGGTAAAATACTGAGCACAGAAAGAACTGCTTGATGTTACAGCACAGGAGATAAGACCTCTTTCAGTCCTCCGATGATGTCAAACATTAGTTTGTCAAACATTATTAACAGAAATTTTTACATCAGAACAACATTTGGTGAAAGATCCTAAAACCAGAATTGGACAAGTCTCTGGCGCTCTGGTCTTAAAAGTGATTTATTCCTAACCTGGAGGAATTCTAGGAGACTGGAAGAAAACTAGTATCCGGAACGATTCAACTTCTTCCACACAACTACAGAGTTGCTCACAGGCAAAATAATGAAATTTGAGGGGATGCAATCAATACAGAATTAAAGGATATAAATGTAATCCCCTCCTGGTGAAATTCAATGTTTCACTGAAAAGGCAACAGCACAGACATAACATGGACGGGCTGGGTAGGACATTTGATTTATTACTTCATGACAGTGTGAGAAAAAAAATAGTGCAAGAGAGTATTAAAAAAAGCCCATATTAAGTGGATTAAAAGTAACAAAGATCTTGACAAATGATTCCCACATTAGAACCAAGAGCAATTGCGTGTAATTACAGCAAGTTCTGCAAAGACCAGGGACAGGTCTGGCAGCCAGGCTGTATTTTCCCCAGACTCGACCAGAAAATGGCTGCTGACAAAAGCTGCAAACGGCACAGAAGTTTGCAGGCTGACAAATAAAGATGAGAGTTATCAGTGATGCAGAAAAACACAGATTGCTCGAGAGGCTGGGTCCACTGCAACAAACCCACCGCTTTAACCAAGCTGAATGCAAAGACATGCTGCTAAGAAAAAGAAACAGCCGTCTTTTTATTAACGGAGAGGGCAGTTACTCTGGAGATCAGTTAACGGGGAGGGAGTGAGGGTCCGAACGGATGAGCATCAACGAGAGCTGGTGATACAGCAGAGATGACTAATGCAATCCTTGGCTGCGTCACGCGCAAACAGGAGGAAGGAGGGTGATCTTACCTCCTTGTTAGCAAGACAGCACTCAGTGCCTGTGTCTGCATCCTTCAGAAGTTGCTTAAACATCAGAGAGTGAATATATCAGTCTCGAAACCAGCTGAAGAACAGGGAAGATGCCTAAAAGTGAGAGATTTAGAGAGTTCAATTTGTTTAGCTGGGAAACATGGGAAGAAAATGAAGGATTAGCGGTCAATCACTTAATCTCGCGGCTGTCAATTGAGCATGCAATCAATCCCAGGTTTACAATCCAAGATCATCTTTCTACGCAACCATGCTACCATTATGCCGTAGGCAGAACTGGATGAAACAACATGTTTTTAACAGGAAAAAAAGACCAGAGGGTTCCAATCCCAGTGCAGCACCTTACTGCAGCAGGTGGCTTCACCCTCTGAACCCCCATTTCAGAAAGGGACCCGAGAACAGCTCTGCAGCCCTCAGTTCTGCATGAGTGAGATGACAGACAGTGCTTCAGACACCCGCATGTTCGGCATTTCCCAGCGGTTCACTCGGATTTGGAGTCAAAAGGGGTGGTAGAGCAAGTCTGGGGGTACTCTATGTGCCTGAGGAGTCTCCAATACGCTGAACAGAAAAGGCAAGCGAACCCCAGATCTGGAACTGGGCATTATCAAGGTAAGAGCCACAACACCCACACTGACACCAAGTTGCACTGCCAATCTAATCACCGAGCACCAAGTGTAACAGGACATACATGTTGCTGCTGACATGTAAGATTCGTCAATTAAATGAGACAAAACCCAAATGACTTTAAGAAGGGGTTAATTTTCACTCACTGAAAACGTTAGGGCCAAACTCTTTTCTAAAAGTAAACTACTAAGTAAATTTGAAATTAATTAAATACTGTTGCCAGTGTAAATTAGCAATAAAAGCAGGAACTAGCCTTTAAATTTTCAGATACCTTCAGGTATTTATTCATCAGTGGTTAACAACAGAGAAGTTTGAAATTGATGCTGGTTTTGTTGAGGGAGGGGACACCAAATATTTACTTTTACACCAGGTGCTACCTCAACCTCTTATAAATTCTTTCGAGGTATTTCTCAGCCTTTTCACAGTGTGTTTTCTACCTGCAGACCACACCGCTGTGGTTGGCTCACATCGTACCTCGCCAGCTATAAAGAGGAAGGATCACGCCTCAGCTCCCTCGGCCACGGTGCGGTGCAGAGCCGAGCGGCCGCTCAGAGCAGGAGACAGCCACTGGAGGGCACAAGGCATCTGGCCGGCTTTAGAGCTTGCTTCAGGAGAAAGACAGGGATTCACGTCCTGGATTCCACCGGTTACATAAATGAACAGCGTGACAAACCTACGTATAGACACTGACCACACAGACTTGTACATTTAGGTTAACCACAGCCTTCAGATGCAGAAGGCGGCGTTATCAGGCACGTGTTCAATAACCGAGACTTCTGTCAATTAGAGAGTTCTGGTGGCGGAGATGCAAAGTTTCTGAAGAGCTCTGATTCTCTTCAACAAGAAAGCGTCATTTATTCTAAATTTAGTTTTAGTCCAGAGTAGAGCTACTGACACAAATATGGGAGAATCCACCAGCAGGCAAAGAACTGCTTTGTCTTTAAGGAAACATTTTGGTTCAAGCGAAATGACCTGTCATTAAACCTTTCTTTCACTAGAAATGTTCAGCCCATCCAAATCAAACGTAACATGAAAACAAAAAGTTCCAGGCAGAAGTATGGCATTTGAAATGGTGGTATCCTTCAGTTCCATGAGATCAGCCAAGGTTAGGAGCCGCACGTTTCTGCCTTTACAACACATGGACTGCAGGACCCAGATATATTGCAGTAACCTTCACCTAACATACACTTAGCCTCTCCCGGATTTGTTGTTCTGGCAACATTTATCTCAATAATTTTCCATTGTTTGAAACAAAAGTCTATGGACACTGACACACATCTGAAAAAGGCAAAATGTCAGCAATTTCAGCTAATTTAAGTCATGTCAGAAAGTGCATTTGAGAGAGACTTTCATTCCTTGTATTTGTCATAAGTTCATTCCAGCACTTCCAGCAGAGGAGGCTCCTTAGAGCAGGCAGGATATATGATGCAAATAACATGACGCTTATCTCTGACAGCAAGCTGGCTCCTGCGAATTCAAGTTTTGCAGACACTGACATCTCGAAAGAATAAAGGACAATTTGGAGCAGGTACATGGGAAAAAGAAATCAGCTTTAGGTTAAGAGATTCACTGCAGGAAATCTCTTGAGTTATTTTAACATGACTATTGTTCACATGCAGACAGCGGACGGCCCCTCACGTGTGCAGCTCCCCCTATCCCGCCCATGTGTGGGTCTGAATATGAATTTAAACATGGGATTAATTTCATCTCGTTTCAGCTTTCTCATCTAACTGTGACAGCCTCTCGCCAGTCAGGGAGGGGAGACCTGCACCTCGGAGGAGCAGTTTACTGTAGCAACCTTAAAATCCTGCCTTTGGGTGAGATAGCTGAAGTGTGGCAGGGATGGACAGTGGGACAGGAAGAATGCAGGCAGCTGGAACTGCAGTTACTCTGGTGAAATGCTCCTAGCAATGCCTCCATACCCCTGAGATGTACAGCACCTGTAAGGGCGTGCAACTTGCCACAGCCAAGTTTTAAGAACAGCCTCACTCCAGGCTGTTGAATTCCAAATGCCTTCAAAATGTACAGTATCAGGACTCAAGTCACAGAATCATGGAAATTTCAGAGTTGGAAGGGACCTCTAGAGATCATCTAGAGTCATTCCACCAATGACAGACAGCAGGACTGAGTGCACCCTCAGCAAGTTTGCGGGTGACACCAAGCTTCGGGGTGCAACCCCTCACTTGAGGGAAGGGATGCTGTTCAGAGGGATGCTGACAGGCTGGAGGAGTGGGCCCATGTGAACCTCATGAACTTCAACAAGGCCATGTGCAAGGACCTGCACCTGCACTGGGGAAGTCCCCAACACCAGCACAGACTGGGGGGTGAGTGGATGGAGAGCAGCCCTGCAGAGAGGGACCTGG